GTTAAATCATTAACACAGCTGTCTCCTTAGTTCGTTCATAACACTTACCTTACTCTGAAAAATGATTGCTTACTAGTTCATTTTCTGATCTCTGTAGAATATAAGATCTTTGAAGACAAGTACCTTATCCTTCTTGTTCTACTCTTTAAACTCTGTAATCTAGAACAATGCCTGACTCTTAATTGTCCAGTAAATATTCAGTGAATGAAGTTTCTTTACTATGTAGAACTTTAATGTCTCTGTGTGCAGAAGTATATGATAACACCTAATTCTGAAAATTGTAGAGATTAAATAAAACTAGTTAGCACCAAATATTAATATTTCAGCCCTGCTAACTATATTTGATACCACCCTGATAGCCTTAAATTTCTCAGCTTCCTTATCTATAAAATTAAGCTAATAAGCCCTTCCTCCCTAGTGATTGTGAGAAATAAAATACTATATGTGCCCTGCTTAGTAAAGTGTCTCACGCATTTATAAAATGCTCAATAAAGTTTACCAACTGTGGCCTTGGACAAGTTATAAATTCTCTATAAATGTAAGTTTCCCAAGAATAATTCCCTCCTCACAGCAAGGTAATGAGGATTAAATGAAATCACCTATTAAACATGAACATTACCATGTCAAGGAGCAGTAGCTAGTGTCACTCCTGAACTTAGCACTGTCCAGTAGAACTTCCTGAGATGTTGGAAATGTTCTGTATCTCCACTGTTCTGTGCAGTAGCCACTAGCCACATGTATCTACTGAGCGCTTGAAATGTGGTTGATATGACCAAGCAGCTAAATTGCTAAATAATTAATTTAAATCTACATAGCATAGGTGGCTAGTGTACTGGACAGTAAAAACTGAGAAATGAGTCTGTGAGTTCCCAGGCTCAATGAAATTCAACTTTCTGTCTCTGCCAGATTCAAAGGGCTAGAGCGGTGAATCTGGGAACCCTAAAGTTCTTCTGTTTTCCTCCTTCCCTCTTACATCCAGTCCCCCAAAAATATTCCCTTTGATTTGTCTTTGGTACTATAAACATACCTGCATATTCCAGAGATGAAAATAGCTTTGAAGTAAACAGGTTTTGTTCTTGAGCTCCTCAATAATTCAAATCCCATCAGAGGTCTATACGGTACTGTCCAGCACAGGATGTCTGGACATCTACTCTACCAAGTGCCTCGGCCAGCCACTGACAGGGATTCAACTCAGCATTTCTGGAAGCATATCCCCAAGCTGAAGGTAGAGCAGGGTTATCTGGGAGATGAAATGGGTCCGCCAGCATACCAAAAAGCTGGATCATGACATCCCACCCCAACACAGCAAATAACCAAACTCATCACATACTAGGTGTATCCGTTTGAGGATGAATGAATGAGCAAGTGAGAGTGACAGAAAAAGCAAACCATAATTTTGAATGTTGATTTGTAGCACATCAAAGTGACTAATAACAATTCCAGAAATAGTCTGATTAAGATGAGTGCATAAGAAGCAATAATCATGTCTTGATGAGTTCAGGGTGTTGTAAACATCTGCTTTATGTTTCTAAAGAATAGAACAAGTATTAGGATTCCAAAGGAAAGGTAAATTTTAAAGAGTTTTCGATTTTGATTTACATGAGTACTTTTTGTCCTGTAATTAAAGTTTTTTGGTTTGATTTCATTTTTAAAGTTTTAATTTATATTTAGATAATGGCACTGTAATTTTACAACATTGTGGAATTCAGAGATGGGTGGAAAAATCCAAGGGCCTTGATATTGGAATTTTCCTTAGACATTGTAATTAGGTTTTTTAGTTCATAAATAATTCCTGACATTTATTTCCATAGATGTTTAATGAGCCTTTAATAAGCCTTATTCAAATAGGTTTGTGTAGAACCACATGAATGTTTCTTATAAAGTAGCATTCATACTTTGGAATTATACACAAAGTTGTTTAAAATTCTTTCTCCAAACTTGAAGCTGCTAAAACTGGATGGTCAAATTAGGTCTGTGGTCCCAACTAGGGGGCATATAGATCCAAGGGGTCTTTGACAATGTCTAGGGATAATTTTGGTTATCACCACTTGAGAAGGGAATAATTGGCAACTGGTGGGTACAGAGGTCTTATTTCCAGAATAAATGAAATGAGTTTACTTGTATAGTGCCAATATCTTATTTTTAAGTAATGAAAGGCATCTTGAGGCATATAAGCCAAAAGAAGAACTTTTCTCCCTTTTTAAAAAATTTTCTTTAAGTCAGTCACATATTTATAGCATCTTGATTGTGAAATACTTTACAGGTTTAGTACTGAATGTGGTGGTAGCTATTGACAGTATACAAATGTTTGGTTCGTCAGCAAACTGATGTTCATGGAGTTGTGGCCAAAGTTTGAAATGCTGGACAACATATTAGGTGTGCTACAAACTAACCTAATAGCCTTTTTAAGTTTTTGCTTTGTTGGTGTGTAATATAAACCATCACTCACTTTTATCCTTCAGCTTCCATTCAAGGTAACTATATAATAATGCTTAAAGTATGTATATACAGATGTATGTGTTCATATAAATATATATTTGTATATGCATATGCAGGTAAAACTTTGTAACCAAAAAGTAAAATAAATTCTGACATTAGAACAGTATTTCTCAATCTTTTACATTACCTCCCAAAACTGAGGATATTTTAGAAATTTTTCCTAATTGTGCCTCCCCAATGAAATTTTAGTATCACACTATCATATATATATACAATTTTATATATGTGTATGTGTGTATATATATATATCTGTTTATGTACATATGAGTATCTGTGCTTTATACATAAAAAGAATAGCATTTTTTCACACCCCAGGAACCAGTTTTCACTCCTTTGGGGATGATACCAAAAAATGCTTAATTTAATTAAAGTAGGACAGAGTTGGGATTGCATCACGTTCTCTGTACTATATTGTATGACTTTACAAAAAGCCTTGGAGATACTGTGAATTCGGTTCTAGACTACTGCAATAAAGCAAATATCAAACTAAAGCTAATCATGTGGATTTTTTTGGTTTCCCAGTGCACATAAATATTTTTACTGTACTGTAATCCATTAAATGTACAGTAGCGTAGTGTTTAAAATCAACAATGTATATACCTTGATTAAAACATTTTACTGCTAAAATATACTAACAATCATCTGAGCTGTTGGAAAAATGGTATGTGTAGACTTGCTCAACAAAGTTGCCACAAACTTTCAATTTGCAAAAAACACAGTGTCTATGAGGTACTGTAAACCACAGGCAATAAAATGAGTTGTACCTGTATGTTATCCAGCAGTTCTACTTCTAGGACTTTACCCAAGAGAAATGGAAACATGTCTGTTATAAACTCGTACACAAGGTTCTTTTTGGAGATGATGAAAATGTTTAAAATTAAATTGTTATAATGATGTGTAACTCTGTGAATATACTAAAAAAAAATCACAAATTGTAAACTTTAAGTGTATGGATTATATAATATGTGAATAATATCTCAATAAAACTTTTTTTAAAGAAGAAGATACACAATCTCTCCGTCTGTCACCCACTAGGAGTCACATCCCATCTCTGCCTGTCACCTGGTAATCACTAATTTACTTTCTGCCTGTATGGATTGGCTTTTTTCTCTTGACATTTCATGCAAATGGAATCAATCTGTGACCTTTTGTACCTGGCTTTTTTCTCTTAGTGTAATGTTTTCAAGTTTTACCCATGGTGTAGCACTATCAGTTCTTCATTTCTTTTTTATTCTATTGTATGGATATACCACATTTTATTTATTCATTCTTCAATTAATGAATGTTGAGATTGTTTCAACTTTTTGGCTGTTGTGAATAATCCTGCTGTGAACATTCATGTACACATTTTTGTGTGGACTTGTTTTCAGTTTTCTTGGCTATGTACAAAGAAGTAGAATTTCTGGGTCATTTAATAACTCTACGTTTGATGTTTTAAGCAGCTGCCAGAGTATTTTCCAAAGTGGCTGTACCATTTTGCAGTCCTACCAGCAACTGGTTTTTAAATGAAGACTGACTGGTTTTATACTTCTTAAAGTGAGTTTCCCAAGTCCTTAGCCAAATTCTACTTTACTTGTCATCCATACAAAGCCACATGGTTCCTCAAATGTTAGATTAGGGATTTAAGCCCATCGCTGTAGGGCTTTTCAGCCTTCCTTCAAACACACACTGCCTATTTTCAAGCCTTTCTTGAATCATATAGATTCTACCCAGTGCCTCTTCCCAGGAATCTCACTGATAGAGCTCCTTTGAGACTTTCTGTCTTTAATAATAGATTATATTCTTCAGGCCTCTATCTCCTTTTGAGAAACTCATAAGGCTCTGCTCTTAACGCTAGAACTCTGTTAAACACATACATCTCTGTTTTCTGTTTCAGCTCTATTTTTGTATAATCGACCCAATCACACCAAACACAGGACTATAACAGGCAACTGAGGCATCAGTGTGGGGCTTGTCCAGGTGTCTGTCTCTCAAAGTCAATCACAGTCCAGGAGTGGGGTCAGAGAATCTGCCTAAGCATAGCCAGCCATTGAATGTTCTCAAGTATTTTCAGCCTCTACCACATTTGCGGATGGGAATAACAAATTCCATACATGGATTGCTCTTAGTTCAGATTGTTCCTCTTTTTACTGCATGGCCTCTGAAAACCTTTCAGAATTGCTGTTCTGGTGAAAATGTGACTGTTACTTTATGTCCTTAATAATATAACAGAGCAGAATATTAACTTCCAAGCCATAATCTTTTCTTATGAGTCCTCGTGTTTTTGCCCATTCTCACATGTAGAATATCTGTGTAATATGTTCACAGTCTCCCAAGTACTGGCCCAGCTGCTCATCGTTCCGAGGTGCTGCACACACCTTTGGGTCTGGCACAAAGTGAACACTCAATGCTCAATGAATGCTGCTGAATGAAAGAATATCTTTTGTTTCCTAAATGCAGTTTATGTTCCACTCAGCACTTACACTGTCACACAGTCATTTATTTATTCTCCTCTTTTGCAGGCTATTGGCTGTACTCTGAACTGTAGTTGCCAAAGCTTCAAACCTGGGAAAATAAACCACCGTCAGTGTGAGCAGTGCAGACATGGATGGGTGGCTCATGGTAACTGACATTTATGCCCTCTTAATAATTTACCGTTACTTGGGGACTGAATATGGTTTAATATCTAAGGATAACCACTAACATGTAAATTTCTTGTATTTGCTGGATTACAGACTAACAGCTTCATATGTTATCTCTGAATTTTAACAACTCTATACCATGTCTTGTTAACCCTGTTCAAAAGATGTAGAAACTGGTGCTTCACTGCTGTTTATTTTACAGTGATAGAAATATTCTGTGCTACTAAGCAGCCTCTAGTTTTATAGTTTAAGCATGCCCCAATACATTTTTAGTGAAAGTATATCCCTTAAATTTATAACTGGGTATCCTTATTCATTGCCAAATGTGACAACTCTGCCCTGGCCACTTGTAGCTACCAAGTACTTGAAATGTAACTAGTGTGACCAAAGAGTGGAATTTATAAATGTATTTAATTTTAATTAGTTTTAATATAAATTTAAATAGCCACAAGTGGCTGGTGACTATTGCCTTGGATAGTTTGGATTTAGGTTGCTTAATCTGTCAGGCAGCATAAGTAAAAAGCAACTGATTAGGGCTCCAGCCCAGATCTCCTAGATTCCCAAGCCCAGGTTCTTCAGTGCTTGAATCTTTGCTTCCTAATTGTTCATCCTCTTGATTATCTGTTATTGTATTTCCTCATTTTCCTTGTACCTTCCCTGTTTGTGACAATATGATTCCTTAGGGATATCACAAAAAAAGGTAGAACAGTCTTAGGTCAGTCAATTTTATTTTAGAATTTCCTATGAGTAACTTGAAGCTTGATGGCTATTAAGGTTATCAGTCATTTGTTTATTCATGTTTTTTCTGTGGAAACAGATAACTGAAAATCAACTCTAGTCTGCTTTCTGTGCAGTGACTCTCCTAAAATTAAAACCTTTCAAAATAATATTTCTTCAATTTGATTTTCAGCTCTAAGTAAGCTGAGGATTCCCCCCATGTATCCAACAAGCCAGGTGGAAATTGTCCAGTCCAATGTGGTGTTTGACATTAGCAGCCTCATGCTATATGGGACCCAGGCCATCCCTGTGCGCCTGAAAATCCTCCTGGACCGGCTCTTCAGCGTGTTGAAGCAAGATGAAGTGCTCCAGATTCTCCATGCCTTGGACTGGACCCTGCAGGATTACATCCGTGGATATGTGCTGCAGGTACTGTTCTCCTAGTGTCTTCTGAAATCAGTGCCCTTGGAACTGTTTAACCCAGTTGCCTACCAGTAATATGACCATTAATGCTCATCCTTCCCTTTAATATTTTTCTAATGACTTAAGCCCCAGCTCCTGTTCCTAGGGGAGCCCCATGTTTTCCCCAAAAATACCTGTCAGGCTGTGGGAGTTTGACACATTCTCCAATGAGGGTTTCACTAAGCTACCTCTTTGGCAGCAAACCATTTGCCCCACATTGGGTGCTGCTTCCACTTCTTTTATTAGCCCCAAACAACCCACTGATGCAAGGTGTTGTCTGGGTCAGATTTTACTTAGAACTTGGGGGTTAGAAATCCAGAATTCCAGAATCAAACAGCAAACAACTAAATAGTTTTGTTCCACTCTTTACCATTGTTTAAAGCCTTCTGCTTTCCTGCTGCTGATTTGCCTTCCTAGGCTCCACCTCATGTGATATTTGTGTTCTTGTACTTATTCATTCTCTGTCCCAGCCCCTGCCCCTATCCCTCTTCTTTTTTTCCCTCTGCCTCCTTACAGTTCTCTTTTGGCTTCCTCCTATTTTCTGTTCTTTTTTCCAGTGTTCCAAACTCCTCATCCCTTCTTTTCTCTTTGTAATTTCTTCCCAGACCATGCCATAGGTGTAAAGTTTCATGTTTGATATTCAAAGAAGACATCGGGTGTTTTTACAAGTAGATAACATGTTTCCTGAAGTGAATTATATTATTCCTTTGAAACAGCTATACCACTTTTTTTCCTTGCCACTACACCAGCAAAATGTCACCTAAAAAATTCAATGAAGTATGAGATGAATGACATAAACTTCAGTCTTACATAGACCATATCATTAAAAAAACACTAGTAACAAACATTTATTAACCTAGATGTTCTTCCAGTGATCTTATAAGGTAGGTATATTATCCCCATTTCCTAATTGAAAAACAAGAAGCTCAGAGTGCTTTAACATCTTGCTGAAAGTCATTCCACAAATATGTGGCAGAACCAGAATTTGAACCCACTTCTGCCTCATTCTAAAGCCTATAATTTTTCTCTGGAAACACATTTGCTCACCTCTAGTGCAGGACCCCCAGCAGTCTAAAAATAACCATTTATGTAGAGTAGCACTATAATCTTACATTATGACATAGATCAATATTTAATGATACTAATAATCTTGCTTTCTAGTGTTAGGTTTAAAAATATGGAATCAATTACCTTGAATCTCTAGTGCGTGAAAAATTTATGATGTTACATTCCTCATCATCTTCAAAACCCTTACATGCACTGTGAAAAATCTCAGTAGGCCATCAAATACATGTTCTGTGATAAAATATTTATTGTAGTTTTTGGGAAAAGTTAGGCCTTACTACAGTTTGAAAGATCTCCAACACTCCAATGTAATTACAGCTCTGCTTTGTGAACATGGGCAGTAGATCAATACAGATTCATTTGTTTTCTAATGGTAGTTGCTTGGGAAGATTATTAAACTTGCAGCAAATGAATACTTGAGCTAAATCTAGGCCTGAGTGCTCCATCTATAGTCTCTAGATAAAGAAGTTGCTATTGTTCAAATGATACATATTTTAATTTTAGTGGGGAAAATCATTACGCCTAATGCAAGACAACCGGTTGATTTGAAATAAGATAAAATATAATAACCAAATTTCCGTGACTTGGGTTTGAGTAATATACTTTTATTTCTCTCTTCTGGACCATTTGTAGGACCACTACTTACATTTGTGCTCTTTATGTTCTTCACAGAGTTTCTGGCCAGCAAGGGGGCATCTTTTCCTGATCTGTGCCAATATTCTCTATAGTCTGATCAGATTGCTACTTTCTTGGAGGAAGTAGACTAAAGTTCAGTAAATTGATCATACTTTTAAATTCTGATTTGGGTTTAGGATGCATCAGGGAAGGTGTTGGATCATTGGAACATCATGACCAGTGAGGAAGAAGTGGCCACCTTGCAGCAGTTCCTTCGTTTTGGAGAGACCAAGTCCATAGTGGAGCTCATGGCAATTCAGGAGAAAGAAGAGCAGGCCGTCGTCATTCCCCCTTCCACAGCAAATGTAGATATTAGGGCTTTTATTGAAAGCTGTGGCCACAGGAGCGCTAGCCTCCCCACCCCCGTGGACAAAGGAAGCCCTAGCGTTATTCACCCCTTTGAGAACCTCATAAACAACATGACTTTCATGCTGCCTTTCCAGTTCTTCAACCCTTTGCCTCCTGCACTGATAGGGTCACTGTCTGAACAGTATATGCTGGAGCAGGGTCAGGACCAAAGCCATGACCCCAAACAGGAAATCCATGGGCCATTCTCCGACAGCAGCTTCTTGACTTCCAGCTCCACACCATTTCAGATTGAAAAAGAGCAGTGTTTAAACTGTCCAGATGGTATAACTCAAAAAGAAGACAGTGCCCATTTAAGTGACTCCAGCTCATATAGCATTGTTGCTAAGCTTGAAAGGACACAGTTATCCCCTGAAGCCAAAGTGAAACCTGAAAGGAATAGCCTTAGCACGAAGAAGGGCCGGGTGTTCTGCACTGCGTGTGAGAAGACCTTCTATGACAAAGGCACCCTCAAGATCCACTACAATGCTGTCCACCTGAAGATAAAGCATAAGTGCACTATCGAAGGTTGTAACATGGTGTTCAGCTCTCTGAGGAGCCGGAACCGCCACAGCGCCAACCCCAACCCTCGGCTCCACATGCCAATGAACAGAAATAACCGAGACAAAGATCTCAGGAACAGCCTGAACCTGGCAAGCTCTGAGAGCTACAAGCGCCCAGGATTCACAGTGATGTCTCCAGACTATAGACCTCTCCCCAGCTACACTGGTTCAGGGGAGGATTCCCAAGGCCAACCAGCCTTCTCGAGCATTGGGCAAAACGGTGTGCTTTTCCCTAACCTAAAGACAGTCCAGCCGGTCCTTCCTTTCTACCGCAGTCCAGCCACTCCTGCTGAGCTTGCAAACACACCTGGGATACTGCCTTCTCTCCCTTTGTTGTCCTCTTCGATCCCAGAACAGCTGGTTTCCAATGAAACGTCATTTGATGTTCTTCCCAAGAAGAAATCCCGCAAGTCCAGCATGCCTATCAAAATCGAGAAGGAAGCTGTGGAGATTGCTAATGAGAAGAGGCACAACCTCAGCTCAGATGAAGACATGCCCCTGCAGGTGGTCAGTGAAGATGAGCCAGAAGCCTGTAGTCCTGTGTCAGACAGAATACCCGAGGAGCAGCACACTCTGTCAGGAAGCTTAGGAGAGCCTCTCCCCCAAGGAGAAAGGCCCTGCCACTTCGAATCAGTGATTGAGTCCCATGGAGCCATCAGCCGAACCCCTGAGCACACCACACACAATTCAGAGAGAGAGACTGACCAGAAGCTAGCGTTGACCATGGTGGCAAGGGAGGTTGATGAGGACAGCCATGAACACCACTTCACACCTGGAATGGAGCCCCGTGTTCCTTTTCCTGACTACATGGAGCTGCAGCAGCACCTGCTGACCGGAGGACTTTTTGGTGCTTTATCCAACAGGGAAATAACCTTTCCTTGTCTCAAAGATTCTAAAGAACTACAGCATGTGAGTCAGCATGCATTAGCAAGGCAGAAGGAAGAAACTCGCTTTCAGTGTGACATCTGCAAGAAGACTTTCAAAAACGCTTGCGGTGTAAAAATGCACCACAAGAATATGCATGCCAAAGACACGCACACGTGCACGGTGGAGGGCTGCGGTGCCACTTTCCCATCCCGCAGGAGCAGAGACAGGTAAGGCATCTGCTGGCAGTCATTTTTCCTAAAGCAGTGACTCTTAAACTTTCACAAAGAATCATCTAGGGTTTTTAAAACACAGACTTTTGGGCCGCATCCTAGAATTTCTCCTTCAGAGAGGGTGAGGCCTGAACAATCACATTTCTCACGAGTTCCCAGGTCACACCAGTGTTGTTCTTCTGGGGACCATAGTTGGAGAATCACTGTTCTCTGTAAGTTTTCACATTTCTAAATTTATTAACTTTCAATTCCAAAAATCTTTGGCTACAAAAGCTAACCTAAAATGATGAGAGAGTATGTGTAATCATTTTCTACTCTGTCTTCGTATGTGGATTTTAAATTTTTATTTGGTACAGAAATTTTAATGAATTATATATTTATTTATTATAGGGACATTAACATTCTATTTCACTATATGCGTTGTTCTGCCTTTCTGAGGTCAGAATTTCTAAGCCTAGAACACATCTAGCCCCAAGGATGTGGGATAAGGAGTCATGAACTAGTTTTCATATTAAAAGCTTGGGCAAAAGATTAATATATGAAAAGGACAGAGGAGGGAGCTTTTTAAATTATCACTGTAGTTTACCAAAACTCATCTGATTTCCATTTCATAATATGAAGCCCCTCAAATGAAACATTTTCTCTGATTTCTAGTGAGCCATCTACATTTGAAATGGAGAATATCTGCTTGATTAAAAATTTTTTTAAATATTAAGATATCAGAAAATAAAGGTAATTGGCAGGTTGTTTCAGGAGCTGTGTGTGTTGATGAAAGATGCTGGTTTTCATGACAAGCACAGAGGCAAACTGTTTATAAAATGCCCACTTAGGGCCAGGATTTAGCTCAGTGGTTTCGCCACCTGCTGCGCAAACGCAAGAACCCGAGTTCGATCCCCGGTACCAAAATAAAAAATTTAAAAATATTAAAAAATATAAAATGCCCACCTATGAAGCCTATTCCAAGGACATAGCACCAGCACTGCTATCTTGTTTATGCTTTCTGTCATGGACTTGGGTCTCTAACCACTCCTCAGATCACCCCTCTCCCCAGCCTGAGAAAGAATAAGCATACCAAAAAATGACCTAGGACATTTCAGGAAAGGATTAGCTGTCTGATGAAATGCAATGTGATAAATACTAAGTGGCTCACAGAATGTTAAACTGCTACATTTGCTTAAACAAGTTTGACTTGAAGCAGTTCAATACTCCTGACTTAGTCGAAATTGTAATGCCTAATTTGTTAACGGGGTGAAAATGTACAGACTCCCACACACATTCCTGGATAGGCTCATAAGAACACACTCATTGTCTTTAGCAAAGAGGATAGAGCACGGGAGATATTAGTTAAAATTCCTGTTTCTGTTGCTAGGATGTTAAACCAAACCACTAGGGTACCCTAATTAGTGAACCAGTCCTTCTCCTTCATCCTCCAAGAGTGTTTGTTCATGAATAGGCCGTTGTTACGAAGTGGTAGTCATATCAGATTATCCTTGACATTTATGAGACTGTTGTAGCCTACAGTATCTACTAAATTAGAACACATTCTATGCAACATACTTTTTCATTTGATATTTAACTTTTCATTTATTTAATATTTTTTACATTCTAGTCTATTTGTAGATATGAGCCCCCCAACACAATAGGAAAACATCTTGTATTCTTAATTTAACACTACTAATTCTGTAATCTTATCTAGAATCTATGATTCAAATGACACCATTTTAAATAGGGCTTTGTGGGTGGGCCCAAGCCCAGCACCGTTTCTCTGATTCAGAAGTAAGAGCCACGTTGCTGTAAGGAAAATTCACCTTCCCTCTTTAAGACACTGGTACTGCCAGGAGCTGTTACCTGCACCCATCAAGGAGGGATTGGGATAGCACCTTGGGTGCTTTTTTAGCTAAGAAATGCTTGTTAAGAATATTTTGCAGTAGGTGCTAGAGGGACACAGTCCCTGCCCAGAGAAGTAAAAATCGAGTGTAGCTATGACAATAGGGGAAATTTAGGCTGCTGTGGGTGCCAAGGAGGGCACCTAACTAGACCCCTTGAGAAGTTAGGAAGGCTTCCGGGGAAAAAAGGGTATATCTGAACCAGCAACTCACAGAAGTTTTGGTTTCACAACCCTTTTACAGATACAGATGTTTAGCTAAATTCTTTAGAACTTTTCTCTCTTTGTGTTATTGCTTTCAATACTTGGTATTTAGATATTAAAACTGAAAAATGTATTATATCCCTTTAAAATAACAGTAAACATACCATATTAGTATAACATTTTATGAAAAAATATACTTCTCCAAAACAAAAATTTAGTGAGGTGAGTGGCCTTGTTTTACATATTTTCAAATCTCCTTAATATCTGGTTTAGTAAACAACAACTAGATTCTCATATTTGCTTCTGCATTCAGTCTGTTGTAATTATGTAGCCTCTGGAAAACTGCAGTGTACACTCATAAAAGCGAATGAGAGCAGCAAAGGCAAATAATGTCTTGATTACTTATGAACTGTTGCCTTCAGGAACCCCCTGAAAGCGCCTCAGGGACCACTAGGATTGCTCAGACTACACTTTTGAGAACCACTGGCCTCAACTAAAATAAAACCAGGAGAAGAGCTGGAGGGGGAGTTAGAGATTGAAGGGTAGATAAGAGTAGTAGGCAAAGGATTTGCGAAGTCCTGGAAGTAGAATGCCTGGTTCATGATCTAGGGTGTATTTGCAGTTATCATAGTTACTCATCAAAGGAAACATGGAAACTGATTTCAATAGCATCTGATCCTGTAAGGCTTGAGAAGGGGGAAGAGGAGCTACAGGTTAGCTGTTAGTGTTAATGGACTATTCAGTAGTTGGGCAATAAGGCATAGAGGTTGGCTTTGTTGCAGAAGGTGCCTTTCCGTACAAGGTTCCAGTAAATGTGTCTGTCTGACTTTTTAGACTCTCTATGTCAATCTAGTGTCTGGTTTTTTGCCGACATCCCAGCCTCTTCCACCTGGAACACTGACATAATCACAGGGCAGAGTTGCTGTTGAGAAGAGCTGTTTACAAAGTGGGTGACCTAGGAGCATAATTCTGATTATACCCCCCAAAAGCATAATGGATAAAAGAAGTTGTACTGTTACATTTTATACATTTTATGAAATGCGATTAAGCTTCCCATATACACACATGTCTTTAGAGATTTTGAAGAGAAAATTATATTCTTAGTTATTTCAATTAGGTGTTTTTCCCAGTGTGCCCCTGGCCTACATTCTGATCTGTATTGGAGGAAGCATTTTTTCAGGGATCATTCTTTTGTCACCTTCAAGACTTTACCTCTTGGTAGTAAGGGTTGGTTTTGCTTGTCAGAAGTTAGGAGATCCCTGAGCAAGAACAACATTGATTTACAAGTCATAAACAAATGTAACATATAAGCAAAAGACGTGTCTTAATGGATGTTCATTATCTGCCCTCTAGGAGTAATCATTGGGTAGAAGATCAGTGGTGTGCTCACACTGCTGCATTTGCAAAACTTCTGTCTGGTATATGGTGAAACACTGAAAATATGAACTAAACTATACATGCACACACATGCCCGCATGCGCACACACACGCTTGCACACATTTCTAATCAAATTTTCACCTACCCCCATAAACGTCTGATTTGAATTGTGTACAGGTGCTGTACACTAGAGCTAACCAATAGAAAGATGTCAGGCACATGGGAAAGTTTTAATATTCTAATAGCCACATTAAAAAGGTAAAAAGAAACAGGTAAAGTAAGTTTTAATAACAGCTTATTTGATCCAGTATATCCAGAACATTGCCATTTCAATATATGACACTAGCCACATTTCAGGTACTCAGTAACCATATTAGTGCAGCTCGAGAAGATATTCCTTGGTTTCATCAAAATAAAGTCCTTTGCTTACTTCATTGTAATTTGTGACTGATATTATCCTAGGATTTCCTGGTTCCAGTGTCCCAGTTAAATTGGGCTAATTGAAGTATTAGCTGTTCACAAGAGATGAGTTTTATAGGAAGTTATGTCAGTCAGATGGTGAAAATTGAATTTTCCAGACTGCAGGGTTTCCAGTGAATGCCAGCCTCTGACAAGCACTGAATGACAGTGGGCCAGTGTCCACTAAATGCACAGTACACCCACAGGATGTTACCATCACTTCATCCATGCCACAAGCCTTTCTTGGTACCCATGCTCTCCTTAGAATGATAACTTTGTGAAACAACAGCCCAACTCATTGCTAACCATCTTTTCACTCTTGTAGACATAGTTCAAACCTAAACCTCCACCAAAAAGTGTTGAACCAAGAAGAATTGGAGAGCAGTGAAGACCATTTCCATACAGCCTACCTTCTGAAAGATGTGGCTAAGGAGGCCTATCAGGATGTAGCTTTCACACAGCAAGCATCCCAGACATCTGTCATCTTCAAGGGAACCAGTCGAATGGGCAGTCTGGTTTACCCTATAGCCCAAGTCCACGGTGCTAGCCTAGAGAACTACAACTCTGGCCCCCTTAGTGAGGGTACCATCCTGGATTTGAGCACTACCTCGAGCATGAAGTCGGAGAGCAGCAGCCATTCTTCCTGGGACTCTGATGGTGCAAGTGAGGAAGGTGTTGTGCTTATGGAGGACAGTGATGGAAACTGTGAAGGACAAGGCCTTGTCCCTGGGGAAGATGAGTACCCTATCTGTGTCCTGATGGAGAAGGCTGACCAGAGTCTTGCCAGCCTGCCTTCTGGGTTGCCCATAACCTGTCACCTCTGCCAAAAGACATACAGTAACAAAGGGACCTTTAGGGCCCATTACAAAACCGTGCACCTTCGCCAGCTCCACAAATGCAAAGTGCCGGGCTGCAACACCATGTTTTCATCTGTTCGAAGTCGAAACAGACACAGCCAGAATCCCAATCTGCACAAGAGCCTGGCCTCATCTCCAAATCACCTCCATTAACAAAATGGCAAGACCAAAAGCTGTGACAAATGTTTGTCATAATTCAGGAATAAGGTAGTCCAAAGAAATGCTTCTGACTGTCTAATACCATTTGGGGTAAGCCAGGCAAAAAGTATCTGATTGGTCTAGTTTTCTACAGCAGGATATGCAAAAGACAGGCCTCATGGGAAGTTGACTTTGGGGTAGCCCTTCCTCTTATTACTAATTTTTCTTAACCCAAGAGATTTTTCACTGACATAAGGAAAACTTGCAGAAGTGCAGTTTCCTCCAGATTTGTTTACACATTCCCTGGTAGAGCTTCAGGTCTGCAGATCAGGAGTTGGGGGCAGCTTCAAATTAAGCCTGCAGTATTAAGGGTATTTGGGGAAGTATCCTGGGAAAAAAAATGTCACTGTGGGCAAGATCTCAATCCCAAAGATTCCACTTTCAGTTCCTTTTTTTTAGTCTTAAGTCCAGACTTGAGTTTAGGAACATGGCTTTCTGAGACCATCCTTCCCTCCCTCGTCCAGAGGTTTCACATGTTATTCCATGGAGTTCCCAGAGGAAGCAAGGTTGGCCTCTGATGTGTTCCTTATTATTTCTTGATCTATAGTATGCATTTAGAAGCTAAGGGAAAAATATGCACTTAAAAGTAGTGGTCTTCAATTTAATTTAAACTGATTTTGATACTATTTATCTTGTGTTTGTGTTGTGTAAGTATTTCATATATGAGTGTGGACATGTCACAGTGGCACCTCTGGATCTCTGCTCAGAAGCAGAACAATTGATGACTTGTACTTCAAAACCACTGCCCATTTTCAGTTGGTAAACTTCAGTCTGTTCATTTTGAACCCCTCTGGAATGAATGCAAGCATGATTCTGGCAGGATCATTATATATATTCCTTCAAAACATTTAGAGAACATGGTTCTGATGGTCGTTGTGTATGTTCATTATCACTGGATCCCTCTGTCTTTGCCTTTTTATAAATATGTAAGATTAGGATGAACTTTGAAATTTATTTGGTAGAAAGAAAAGTAGGACATTGTCGTCAGTACCGTATGTCTTAATATTTAACTTATTCTAAAATGTACTCCACACTGTTATACATGTTTGCTGTTATAGAAAGGAAGCTTAATCAGCACTGTGGAATGAGACCATCTCCTGAAATTTAGCATTTACAGTATCCTAAAACCCTGAAGAAGTTAAAAAGTAATTGGTTTTGTATTCAGAGTCCAAGTTAACTGTCTTTTAAACTATTTAACTAATAAAAAAAAATCCTTAAAGAAAATTGAGGGTTATAAGAAGTACTCATTTGGCCTAGAGGTGGAAAAAGCCAAGAACCTGTTACTGATAATTTCAGCTTCTTTTTTAATTTTAATAAATGTGACCACTTAAAACTTGTTTCTGCTTAAAGCAAGATATACCTTTCAACTGTTTTGTTACCCAGATGTTTACTATTCCAGTTTCCTCAAAGTGGAAAAATTTGTATACAAATGTTTTCTATGATTTAATAAAAATATATGGCACACCTTTTGTTTAAAAAGGCAAATATTTGTAAAATAATAGTTTTGTTATATGGACTGTCTTTTCACAAGTGCATATGCACACACACACAAGAGTAAATTTGACAGAACTGAAAATCCAGAGGCCACCTGGTAGGGCATAGTGTAACTACTGCCACATCAAAACAAGAATTGTAGCAATTGATGGGTTCAAATAGATATGATGTGGTTACTTTCATTAGGAGGATGAGCTGAGTACTGGCCTTTTATCAAAGAAAACACATAGTAAAATGGTGGTTTTTTAAACTGCTGTCAAAGACTACTTTTATAGACAATGCTCAAAATAGAATACAATGAAATATTTAAGCCTCTTCTTAAATAGAGTTTTCAACTTAAATTTTTATAACATTGTAATGTCTTCACCTTTTTTTATCCACATAGATCCAGTGTCCCTGTTAAATTGGCCTAATTGAAATATTTGACCAGTGCCTGTAGATGGCACTTTGAACGTTACATGTCAATTGGGTGGTAAAATAGAAAAGTACATATTCCTAATTTCCAGACTGTTGGCTTTCCTGGTGAATGCTACCTTCTGATCAGCAGTGGATGACAGTGGGCCATAATCCATGATACAGAAAAAAATAGATACCTCCCTCTCAGTTGATGCCTTGATTTCATATTTTACTGGGAGAAAGAAGACATCAGAGGTAAAACCACTTATCTACCAGCATCTGTACTACTCCCACCCTCGTCCGAGCCATGTCTTCTCTTTTCTGGGTGACAGCAGAAGAGAGCCTCTAGCTGGTGTTTTGCTTCCATTCTTACATGCAGCAGCATCCAGAATGGTCTTGGATGTAAATCAGATTATGTAGTGCCCCAGCTCAAAACCCTCCGCTTGCTTCCCTTGACAATACAAAGTCCAAGACCATCCCAAGGCCTAGGAGACCCTGCATTGTCTTCCCACCCCTGCTGCTTCTTCCTCTTTCCCACTACCCTTTCTTCATTACATGTTACCAGCTTTCTCTTTATTTCCCCACAGTAGCTCTTCCAAAACTTCCCTTTGCAAGATCCTACTCCATGACTTTCCATATTAAGAGTAGCTGACCTTACTTCCTACTCACATAATTGAGATCCCCTTCAGCATCTCCCCACTGCCCCACCACCCCATCTCTGTATCACACCATCTTGATGTGATCATGACTGTCTAGACCTTCTGAGAATCCATCCACCTTTTGTTTGATGTACAATCACAGTAAGTTGCAAACCTCTCCAAGAAAGTGACCAGGATCCCCTGCTACCCATTTAGCTTGTCACACTCAAATCCCTCATGGGCTCTTGAGTCAATACCTGTCATTAAGGGATCCAAATTTCCCTGACTCAACCTTTTTGGTTTTATCCACTTGTGCATATCAGTGGCCATGAGTCTCGGTCTCCTATGAAGCAGACTAAATGTACAAAGATTCTAAGAAAAACAGATACAATAAAAAGGGAGCAGAAAAATCAGGGAGAGCAAACACACAATGCAGTCTGACCCCCAGTGAAGGAGAGGGAGAGAAGACTGGGTGAAAGCACTCTAGATTGCTGTGCAGTCTAAGGAAGGTTCATCCAGAGCACCAGAGAAGGCTTGACTCAAAGTCAAGCATCACAGCAGTCCTGCAGCTCCCAAGAGTGGGTTCCCTGGGAATTGTAACCCTGCTATGCTGACATCCTTGGCTTTGGGAAGCCCATGGCAAGTGTGTCTCAGTGCAAATGCAGCAGTGGATTTCAGAACACAGTAGCTAGAGCCCCTGGCCAAATCTCACCTATCTAAAGCCCTTGTGTCCTGTTCAAGATAGGTTTAAACTTACACTTTTCTCTGAACTCAAAAAGAAATGTTCCTATTCTTTCTGAAGGCTGAAATCTTTACCCCATCCTCCAGTGATGTCACTGACACCTCTCCTCACACATCAAACTTGTCCTTTCCATTGGTTCCATCTCTTTAGCCTGCAACGTTTGCCATTCTCTTTACCTTAATGACTAAAAGAAAGAAAGCCTATGTACACCTGACCCCTTACCCTGTGTCTGTAGGAGGAAATATTTTTCTTCTGCAGCCAAGGTCCTTAGAATAGATTTTGCCTCTACCCTAGTCACTGAACTCGTGTTTACTCTTATCCTACTAAAGGCCCCACTTTCACCAAGGCTCCTAGTGACTTCCTGATGATCATAGCCAAAGGCCATGTTTGGTTCTTCACTATCTTCTGGTCCTGTCCTTGCCCTTTTTCTTTCTTCACTTTCATCTAGGTTATCTATCCCCATGACTTAAAGTACTGTCTGTAGGCCAATGCCTCCATATCTCTCAATTGAAAATAAATGCCCATTGGATATCACAAAATAATGCACAGTATCTCCAGCCCAGCGTACCCTAACTCAATTTGTCATTTTCCCTCCAGTGAACCATTTCCTCCTGTTTCCTTGGTCTGGAGTCGAGGTGCCATCGCCCACCTGGCCAACCCAAACACTGACAACCTGGAGGCAGTACTAGGTACAGCTAAGAGCAAAGCTCAACCCAACTGCTCAAGGTCAAATCTTGGTTACTCCATACTAACCAGGTGACCTTGGCTAAGTGACCCAGCTTCTCTGGGTCTCAGTTTCCTCATGTATACAATGAGGATAAAAGTTTTCATAATAAAGTGGTCATGATGAGGCTCAAATGACACAGTAGCTCTGCAGCACTTAGCACAGTGCTAGTACAGACAACTATCTATGATGCAGCAGCAGCAGCAGCACCATTACTATTCCAGACTCCTTTTATCTCATTCCCAATAGCCAACAGTCACTAAATCCCAACAGATCTACCAGAAACACAAATCTTTCCCCCTCTTCTTCATGCATGTAATCTGTATTGGTTCAACAAAATAATCCTCTTCTCCTTTCTCTTCCTTCTCTACGATTATTTCATCGGCCTGCTATTGTCTCAAACTCATCCTTCCCATAGCATCCCAGGTACATTCTACAACATAAAATATTCTACAACATTTGACTGTGTCTCCCCTCCTCTAGGTGCTTCCCACTGCCATCAGGGTGGAATCTCCAGAAAGACCAGGCCTGTCCTTCATTACCGCTCCCCGGCTCAGCAGGCTGACCCCGGTTGCCCCCCAGTTCCAGGGCTGGTCTGCCCCATGTACGCCTGCATATGTTGCCTGCTCTGCACTACCTGCCTTTGCAGTCTCCCACCCATTAACCTTTGGTCTTTCTTTGAGATTCAACTGAACAGATTCAACTTACTTCCTGAACGCCTCTTTTGATTCCTATTTCTTCCCCTCAGAGTTGAGCACAACTGTTTGTCCACAGACCCCACACCCACCACCTTGGCAATCCCACTGTCAGCATTCACTGCTTACCAAGGGGCTTGACTTGGGGCTTCCAATCGTCAATCAGCACAGATGTATTCAGAACCCACCTTCTCTGTACCAAAGCCTGCCTACTTTATGCTCTACCTACTGTGTATATGGTGATAAATAATACATAACACACATAATTCTTGCCCTTGTGAAATTTATTTTTTTGTTTGTTTTTGGTTTTTTTGGTACCAGGGATCGAACTCAGGACCTTTCCTTTTCAAGGCAGGTGCCAGAACCACTGAGCTAAATCCCCAGCCACCCTTGTGAAATTTAGAGTCCAGTGATGGACGTAGATATTAAACCCCCCCCAAAAGTGAAAATGTTATACAAGCTGAATTTCCGGAAGAAAATTCTATTTTCAATTTCCCTTGATAGTATCCCTTCCTGTAGATCTGTTTGCAAATGACTGAAGGTGTGAGGTCATGACCTCCCCATGACCTTTCTTCCTCAAGGTCTGGCACTCACAGACTGCCCTCCCAGGCAGGTGGCTACATAATTGTCTCTTAACTATCCAGGCCTGTAGGTCCCCAGACTTCCAGTCTTGTAGAATCATCCTGTTTATATCCAAATTAAGTAACCAGAGCCTTGACTCCACACTTGAACAAAACTAGTCTCAACAATGACTTTCTCCATTAGCTTGTGAACATGAAAAAAGCACAAACCTCCCAGATTTTGGACATAAACTCAAATCAACACACTTTCAAATGAGAGATAAAAACTAGCTGCTTTGCTCTTACAGGATCTTGTATCTATTTCAGTCAAGCTCTGAAAAGTCATTTCCTGCCCTAGTGAGGGCCTACGACCATGAGGGCATAGATATGGCATTTTGCCCTCTTTAGCATGATTTTTCCTTACTGAACTATTATGCTCCTCTTTTGATTTAGCCTGATTTCTCAAAATCTATTGGTATTAGGAAAGTTTTATAGACTACTTACTCTTTTGCCTGTGAGATAAAATTTGCATAAAATTTACCCTGTGAACCATTTTTAAATGTGCAAGTAGTATTAAGTACATTCACAATTCATTATCTAGTTCCAAACATTTCATCATCCCCAAATAAAACCCTGTACCCATTAAATAGTCACTCTTTGTTCACCCCTCACATTATCCCTTAGCAACCACTAATCTACTTTTTGGTCTATGGATTTGCTTAGTCTAGATAATTCATATAAATGGATTCATACAAATATGTGGCTTTTTGCATCTGGCTTCTTTCACTTAACGTAATATGTTCAATGTCCATCCATGTTGTAACAGATTCCATTCCTTATCACTAAATAATATTCCATTGTGTGGCTATAACGCATCTATTTTAATCTGTTTATCCATTCATCAGCCGATGGACATTGGTTTGTTTCCACTTTATGGCTCTTATGAACGGTGCTGCTATGAACAGTCATGTACAAGATTTTGTGCAGACATATGTTTTTAATTCTCTTGGGTATATGGCTAGGAGTGGAATGGCTGGGTCATATGGTAACTGTATGTTTGGCTTTTTGAGGTGCTGCCAGACTGTTTGCTGGGGTCACTGATTCTTAAATATGGCTGCACATTGGATTCACCTGGCAGCTTTTTAAAGTGTTGTTTGCTAGGTCCCACCCTCAGCAATTCCGCTGAAATCTGTCTGCTTTGTGACCTTGGCGGGG